TTATTAACAAAAGAACAGTCAAAACCTGGGGGCCTATAGCACACTGCAAGAAGCGTTTTGCTAAACTGCGATGAAAAACAAACACAACATAGCTCGAGATCGCAAGATAGTTGAACGGAGAATGAAGGCATTTCTTTTTTTATGGCCACAAGGACGCCACCACCACGCTGCTGAGGCCGATCGCAGCGATATACAGAAAAGTTCATGTTCGAATAAAAAAGCTCATCGTCGTTAACGTCCGGTTTTAACCAAGTTTCCGTAAATATAGCTATGTCGGAGTTGCAGTCGTCGAGAAGACTGCTTCTTTTATCTTTCTTAGGCAGGAAACTACGAACATTTGTAAAAGTAACAACATGAGACTGCTATTTTTTAGATTTGATACGACAGTTGCTTGGTGTCGGGAGGCGTTTCTTTTTATTCCCATTTAGTTATGCTTCAAGCTCCTTTACGCAGTCACTAATCGGATCGTAAATGTAACGCTTGTTATGAATGTGAAGTTTATCAAAGCGGATTTTAAAGGGCACGTTTTGCGGCTCTGCAAACTGGTATAACTTGCCGCGCGCTAGTCGAACTGATTCAGAAAAGTCTTTACATTGCACTGTTTGCAACAGCAGACTGATATTTCATTATCGACAAGCAAACTGTACCTGCACAAATTAAATGTAATACGAAGAGAATGCCCATAGTTTTAGTAATCAGTAATTTGTAATGTGATATAATTAAATTTTAGCGATTTTTAAGAAAAGAATCGGTAATGCAAAACACTTAGTTTTGAAAAGTGCTTTTGCCATCTCTCACCTAAAAAACTCAAGAGGGCGACTGTACTAATGTGATTAACCATTTCGAGAAGAGACATTGAGTTCAGAAAAATTAACGCAATATTGTAATTACACTCTCAAAATTTGAAGGGTGAGCTTGTACTTTAAACTTTAGCTTACGGAAAGGTGGAGTTCTAGTCATCGGTGTGGCCACGTGCAATGTGACGTCTAAACGCGGCACTGGTCACTATGATCTCAAAACGCAATATTGAAATGCAAGGAACCGAGAAAAAAAAAAAGGCTCTGCTTCGTATTATGGATTTTTGCAGATCTCAATATTTGGAGTTTCCGTCAAATTTCATAACAAAAACAACAGTTTGACAGCCCCCAGCACTGTTTATTCCAACGTGTGTCCTATATAGGCAACACCAGGTGGGTTGGGGTAAAAGCACCGGACATGCTCAAGTACGCACGCTGGCATGAGTTCCCGTCCCGTAAACACTTTTTGTAAGGCTCGCCGCTTCCTCTTCAAGTACCCAAGGTCACAATAGACTCTGTAGTACCGTATTTCCCGGACTATGCAAGTTTAAAATTTGAAAATTCACACGATGCGGACTATCTAAAGGTGCGGACAATACAGTGATTTATTTTTTCTAGATCCTTCACTGTGGCAATCGTGAAATATTTTATGAGTAACGGACTATACTGATGTTGATTTACGTATGATAAAGCTTCATCGTGAGCTAATACGGTAGGCTTTTGTCAAGCTCTGCTGAGTATGATACTTTTTACGTTCGGACTAGGTGCTAAGTGCGGGCTTTGCACTGGGTGTCGATTGTGTACCGGGTGCGGACTATCTAAGCAAATACTTTTATTTTTGACGCGAAATATTTCCCTCCGGACTATGCACCGGGTGCGAACTATAGTCCGGAAAATGCGGTAGTTCCTTCGAACTCCAGGGTTCCTGGACAATGGCTCTTGGCCTATGCCCATCCTCACATGGCCTTGGACGGGTAGCGGTCATTTCATCGAACGCCTATTCATCGAACGCCGTTTCATCGAATGAATGGACATTTCATCGAACGCCGTTTCATCGAATAGCTAAGGGCCGTTCCATCGAATTTCTTTGTATCGAGTTTTGGGGCATGACAGTGCTTTATAGATGTTTCACCTTACATTTGTTAAAGGGACACTGACACCCCCCAAAATTTTTTTTTAATTTTTTGCCAGGCGCTTCATTATGGTGCCGGAGGCATACCCAATTAATATTTTGCGACAGAGTAGCGTATTTTTTAATAAAGCCAAAAGACGCAACTGCTCGAAACCGAAACCGAAATCCGACGGAGGTCGGAGAAGTGGAGAGAAGAGAGTGAGTGGCGGAAGTCACGTCGCTACACCCCACCGTGCGTTTTTTTTTTTTTTTTTTCTCCTTCCCGGTAGCAGACGACATGCGGCGTATGGGAACTGTTCGCCGTGGATTCTTTTGCAGTTATGTATGTTCCGCTCGTTGTTCTGTACTCCAAGATGAGTTGTTTGCTACATTGAGGAGTTGGAGATGAGTAGTGAGTGCCCGTGGTGAATTTTGATCGGCGCCGAAAAGAATACACCCAAGATGTTGCGTGAAGAGCTGGCTCACGTGTCCCGCGTCCGAAACAGAAGTGGCATTGTGCGACAGAGTTTCCGAAAGACCAACGGGATCGGGACCAATGGCTGGCTGCAATTCCTGTAGACCATTTACGGGCACCTCGGAAAGCGGACGCTACCTGATTTATATGCTCCTTGCATTTTGTGGAAAGTGATTACATTGAGTTCGCAGGTGCCAAAAAGGAAATCCCATACCATTTAATTCAGCGACGTGTCGTCCACAAAATTTGTTTCTTATATTTTTTTTGTTTCTTCAGTAATAATTGTAAAAATAAAAGAAAGAAATGTAGACATCAAAAAATATTTGAAAAGAAAAAAAAAAAAAAGTTCCACGGGGGATCGAACCTGGTCCTATTGCGTGTGAAGGCGACGTTTTTCCCACTCACGACCATACCTCGGCAAGTTCATTCATGAACTTGCTCATTCACCTTCATTCACATTCACAGCGTGAATCTGAATGGCTCTGAATGAATTCTTGAAATTGAAAAAAAATCATGATGTGATGGTGAATGACTGTGAATTTAAATGAATTCGTGATGTGGTGGTGAATAACTTCGTGAATTTTTATGAATTCATGATGTGATGGTGAATGAATTTGTGAATTTGAATGAATTCGTGATGTGATGGTGAATGAAGTCCTGATATGATGGTGAATGACTTCGTGAATTTGAATGAATTTGTGATGTGATGGTGAATGAAGTCGTCATGTGATGGTGAATGACTTCGTGAATTTGAATGAACTCATGGTGTGTTGTGATTGTGAAAGACTTCATGAACTGAATAGAATTCATTGTGATGTGAATGACTCAATGAATTCGTGACGTAATGGTGAATGACTCATGAACACGATGGATTTGTGATGTGAGTGGCTCGTGAAGTTGATAAGTTTGTGATGGGAAGTGATACCGTGAACTTAATTCTCGACGTGATAGTGAATACTCTTATTATTTCAGAATAAGCGGAAAACATGTTACGCCGGTGCTTGCTTGCTTGCTGGTTGTTTTCATACTTCACCGCAAACGACATGAACCGATTTGACCTTAGTGGTTTGGATATCAGTCTCGCTGCGTAGCCGTGCCCGCCTCAGCGCAGTGGCTCTTTGTCGAGCGCTTTCAAAGTAACAGCTGTTTATAAGGGAAGTGCGGTGGCAGTGGCAATGAAGAGACGAAGACGAAGCCGACGTCACGAGCAGGCGCACCTAATCCGGCGCCGAGACCATATCACGTAACTTGCCGATTCCGCGCGGCTGCGCACGGAACACATTCACGTGACAGAATCGCAGCGCGGCATTGGCTGGGTTGGCGCTCTATCAATGTGCTTTGAGTTTCGCGCACTCGAAATACCCCACTACCCCGACGAAGTCAGGACCTGGTTTCAAGTGGCTGACACAAAAAGGCGTCGCAGTCCTATTCCGCAAGAACTGCGAACTCGTGAAGGGCTACCAGCCGTGAAGTCGATTTTATTTAGAATGAACCTGAGTGAGTTCGTGAATTATGCGGACATCATGATGTGATGGCGAATTCCGGTGAATTCGTGTTGACCGTGATGGTGATTAACTTCGTGAAGTGATAATGAATTCGGATGAATTCATGATGTGATGGTGAATTCGGATGAATTCGTGAAATGATGGTGAATTCGGATGAATTCGTGAAGTGATGGTGAATTCTGATGAAGTCGTGAAGTGAAGTTGAATTTAGATGAATTCATGATGTGATGGTGAATTCCCATAAATTCACGATGGTGAATTTCGATGCATTCGTGGTGATGGGTGAATGACTTCGTGAATTGGTGATGTGATGGTGAATGACTCCGTGAATTCGGAGGCGGCGGTGATGTGATGGGAATGAATTCTTGGCGGAGTTTGAAAGCCGTGATGTGAAGGGGATGAAGTTTTGGCGCGGCTGAACGCCGGGATGTGATGGGCCGTGACTTTGGGAGGTCAAAGTACCTTGTGACGTGAATGCGAATGAATTTGGATACGTGATTTTGTTAGTGATGTGATGGTGAATGAAGGGGCTCTAAAATGCCGACCTATGCTCACGACCAACTCTATTACTTCCGACCACTTCACCCGGAGCGCGCCGACGGGGAGCGCTGTCCCCGGATGCGGCACGCCTAGTTTCGCGCCACTCTACTAGATGGCGCCACAGCTCAGCTGTAGCGTTCGGGAGCAGAACGAAGGCTGAGCTCTCCGCGCGGCCGCAAATTGTTGATGAACGACTTACTTCCGCCTCATTCTTTTGATAAAAATTTCTTGAGCTGAGAGTCTTTCCATCAGAGACCCCTAAAAGAGGCAACATGCAAATTAATGTACATTTTCGTTCAGCCTGGGCAAAAAATATAGCCACAGATCTATTGGAGATCACTTGAAATTTCCTATGAACTCGAGGGTTTACGGCACTGAGGGGTTGATGAAATTTCAGCATACGTTTTGTGAAGCAAGGTTAGTTCTAAGCGTGGTTTTATGTTAACTTGATTGGAAGATAGATGTTTTATGACCCCCCCCCCTTTTTTTTTTACCCATTTCTGGCGGATTCTTTACACAGCTACATTGGTTGCATTTTTATACATTTTATAAAGATAGATGCTGCGAGGTCATACTTTTCAAGGAATTTTATTTCTTGCACTTCGCCCTTTCGTTGAAGTCACCTTCTCTTTGTCACACAGGCACTTACACCTTGAGCACCTTCCTTGATTCTGGTTTGCCCTTGAGGTTCTTCTTCTTCCGCTTCCTTTCTGACACATTCCTTGTATGGTTGACCAAGAAGGGCCTCATGAATTTTCTTACTATCACGGTAGCAAGGGCCCTTCTGTGGTCTTCGGAAGAGTCATGCTCGCATTGTAGCAGGGGGTTCCTACACAGAGCTGGGAGCACAGCCCCCAGAAACTGCTGTACTGGCCGCTTACTCTTCAGGAGCGCGGTGACTGAAGCGCTTGCAGCTTTCTCCAGGTTTATGACCAATCCGACGAAGGACAGACGTGGGTAGGAGAGGCCACCACGGTCTATGTTGACGATCAGTGCCGTTGTGGGGGAGGATGACGCTGGCGCCTTCACAGTGTCAAGGCAGCCCAGGCAAGAAATGTTGTCCTGCACGGCCCGAACCAGGAAGCCGGCGACAAGGCCTAGTGTGCTTGCTTGCAGTCCTGGTTGAGGTGTCCCTGAAACAGACAAAACAAAGAAAACATTGCATTACAATAACTCTGAGAAAACGCTATAAAAGAAAACAAAGAATCATGGCTTTTTTTTTAAGCTCTAGCGATTAGAACCACAAGCAGATGGTTACCTGGGAGCATCTCCAGAGCAGGAGTGTATGGTCGCAAAATGTCAGCGAGGCCAACAGGACGTGATGCTGTGGAGGAGGCTGTTGAGGCAAGTTTCTTTAGGTCCCCCAGGGTCCCAATTGTATGGCTCGTGTTCCCACTTTTTGATGAATGCAGGAGCCCAGTCACAAGGATCTTCTGGAGTGAGGACAAGGCGGCACGGGCATCTGTCTGATCATTTTGACCGTTCAGTTGCCGCACAGTAGAGAACAAAGCCTCTACATCGTCGCTGGAATATCGTGACGTCAGGACGAAGTGGAATCCCCTGTCTAGCAGGTGCCTTGTGCAAGGGACCGTGGAAGCAGTAGTGATGCACAGTGCCTCGTAGGTTTCCTCCGAGAGAAATGCGGCCTTTGCAGGAGCACTGTCCTTCCAGACCAAGAAGTAATCCAGGAGATCGTTCTCCAGCCAGGACAGCCTGCAATGGAATAAATATATAATATCTTAACTGTTAAAAAAAAAAAAAAAACAAGGAAAATGAGTAAAAGTGCAGCATTCACCTCTCGTCATTAGCATCATAAAATGGCATCCTCATGGGGTCCTTGCTGAAGATGTGAAAGGTGCTGCTGCGGATGTTGTGAAGGCTAAACCACTTGTAAACAAGCTCCACAAATTCAATAGTAGGAAGACAGTCCTCGAAGCCGAAGATGCCAAACTGCGTTCCATACCTCTGGAGGTACCTCAGCACCGAGGTCACCTCCAAAAGAATGTGCATTGTAACAAAAATAACGACCCGATTTCAAAGTGATATACTGCTAAATACTTAGGTTCTGCGTACCTGAGGGGACACAACGTCCAGGGCCCTTTTCACATTCATCTTTTCAAAATTGGAAGGGAAGACATGTTTTCGGGACAGTCCTCTCACCAGAGTGAAGGCGCCTGTAAATTTTTTACTTCTATATCTCATGATGTGCACATTTTCACAAAAAGTTTAAAGGGCCATCGCACATAATTTTTCCAACCTTCTTTAGCAAGGGTTAATGCGACTTCAATGAGATCGACTAAGATGCCACTTTAATTACCTTGCTTTTGTTGGAGGTCGTAGATGCCCCTCACATACTTTGGAGTGATATACTTCCCATTGTTACATAGAAACCTGTTTGATGCTAGGAATTGCGACCTGATATTCTTCAAAATGTGACAGGGGTCAAACGCAAGAAACAGCTTCCGTTTCTTGTCCAGTGGATGGCTGTGATGATATAAACATGAACAAGAGTTTAGCGCATTACTTAATGGACATCACTCGTGTTCAAGTTTTATGACATACCTTACAACAGGAGTGATTTTTCCTCCACTCAAAGTCGAGAAGTACTTGCAGTTCGACGCATGATTGTCTCCTACAAGCCTCAAAACTGTAAATCCTGCGTCTTCAACTGAGCGCATGACTTCCAGCCCCAGCTGATGAAGCTGTTGCCCAGTTAGCGCCTTCGTGAAGTAATACCCAACAGGGAGCCTGACAAAAAAAAAAAGTTTTTGTGGCACAATTGGTAAAAAGTAATTATAATTAAGCCTAAAACCTCGCAATGTCTATATACCTGTAGTGGCTTGAAAGCCCCACGAAAACGAAGCATAGCAAGTGCGTAGCAACTTCGTCTTGCTGCTCATACTGGGTCTCCAGTCCACCCAGTTGTACCAGGCCGTGAACCGAGTCTCCCTCCCTTTGGTACTCCACGCCCTGCTTAATGGACATCTCGTCCATGACGAGAGAACCATGCCGTGCCTGCAGGATAAGAAAGAGTTTGTAGAGGTAGCTCGGGCTATAGCAATCACTTCAGGGAGCTTAGATATTCTTACCAGCTCTGAATGAAGTTTAGCCTCTTGGTGCAGCCTTTGCTTCATCAAAGAGGACACCATTTCTCTTCTCCAGTACATGGTCCAACATACCGTTTCAATGTGGATCGACTAGGCAGGCTGAGAGCTTCAGAAGCTCGAACGAGTTGATAGGCACAAGGCGATTTTGAGTGCCACTGTATGCACAGTCGCACAGTCTCCTCGGACCAATGATGTTTTTTCAACTTTAGGCACCGAAGCTGCTGTTGAAGGAACAACGCCTTTGGCCTTCCTTCCTCTGCCTGGTCCTGAAATATTTGAAAAATATCATCAAACGTTATTACGAGGGCTCTGTGTTTTCGGAGTTTATTTTTCGTGAAATTCGGAGGGTGTTTTTTGGAGTTGATTTTTTAGCAAAAATTTGGTGTTTATCGGAGTTTATTTTTCGTAAATACCCAATTTTCCGAAATTCTGATATTAATTTCGCTGTGTTTCGTATTAAAAAATGTTAAATAATAACCGGATGCAAACGTATGCCAAATAAAAAATAAAAAAAAATAAAAAAAGCTTGAGGTACACCTAAGCATTTCTTATGAGTTCTGAATGCGAAAGCATGCAAGCCGCTCGTCCGCTCCCTATGTCGTCTGCTACGTACCAGCGCGCGCGCGCTTCGGGATCTCGGAGGCTATGGCGCAGCGGCCATTGGGAGCCCCGTTGACGCGCGCCAGCCAATGGAACCGAAGGCGCGCGGAAACTATCTGTCGTTTTCGCACTTTCAACGATGACGTTCGCTCGCTCCATGATACAGTTAATGTTTTCGCATTAATTAAACGCGCTTGTATTAATTAAGATTTCTTCAGGTGAATTTGGCATCGGTGTCATTGGCAATACTAATCCCTCGACAAAAGTCGCACAAAAGTGTGGCTTCGATAAACGTCGATACCTTAAAATAAGTAAACTGCCGGAGGTAGCCGCAGGAAGCTCGTAGCCATCCCATCAATCTATCCCGCTGCCGCACGAGGTGGAGTGGTTGAGGGTGCAATAGAGAAGTTTTAACTGCCCCTCTTTCCTATTTTATATAACCCCTATGGTCCATAGCTTTCACTGTTACCCCCAGAAACATACCGTCTCCTTTCTCTAAATCCCAAATCCTATGGCCCAAACTGGAAACCGAAAGAGTGACTTTTGTCGTGACACGAATGGTACGATGACTTGTTTCCCTGAAGCAACCTTGACGAGACAAGCCGTAAGACCCCCCTTTTACAACGGTCCGTTGCGCTGCTCAAATTGTAAAAAGAAAGAAAAAAAATTATATATATATATATATATATATATATATATATATATATATATATATATATATATATATACACTTTTATTTTAGGGGGGGGGGGGGAGGGGGTGGTGCCATGGGGCACATAACGATTCGGAGTTTATCGGATAATTCCAAATTGGCAAAAATGTTACCGGCGGGTGTTTTTCGGAGCTTTTCGAATTTATCACAAAACACGGAGCCCTACTTATTACTCATTCTATCTATATAATACCCTTGCGATACTGCACATCATGGTGCACCAACCGGGTAACTTACCAAAAGAAGCTCGATGTTCGTAGTCTTTACAGTTTGTTCAGCTTTCTCTAGTCGTTGTGTCAATGCCTTCACCTCTTCCTTCAGAACACGTTTTGCACTTTGAAGCTTGATGCACTTCCTCTTGAGTGTCTTCAGCTGCTTCTGTAGGGACACAAGCTTTCTTGATGTGAGCACTGTCTGACATGGAAAACTGGGCGTGTGTCTTGTTTCCTGGATGTTGACATGAATGGGTGGAACTGTGAAGACCTGCGTGTTACAGTCTTGAACCTGTCGTAAAATCTGTGACGATTCACTCTCTTGTGGCTGCACTTCATCAACAGTACTGGCAGAGAAGTCATCAAGGGGGCAATCCATTCTGAAAATGCATTAAAACCGCGCGAAATCGCAAAACCTCTGCACGGTTACTACACAAAAGCTTTACCAAATAGATAGCATTTATAAAACACGGGAGTTCGAAAACAGGCGTTAGCACCAACCTTTTTTCTTTTTCTGTGCGCAGTGTTCTGGCTTTCATCCGATGTACGCTTTAAAACACGTCGCGGTTTTTTCTGTGTCGACTTGAGATACGTAGGATACCCTGGGAACGTTGAGGGAACTGCGTCTGCCTTTAGTCGTTTCTGCTTCAGTCCTGAACGATAGTCTTCATCCTTGAAATGAAGACTGCAAACAACTGAGCGGTCGCTTGGGAACCAGACCTCCGCCGCAGCGCCTGAAATCAAATAGAACCGAAGCGTCAGATGCCTTACGTGTTGTCTAGTGAACTACTCAAACTGAATAATATTTACCTTTGCGACTGACGGCCTTTATCCACTCGTCCCGGATCCTTGTGGTGGGAAATTCATGGAAGCTGACTCCCACTGCCGTGCCCCGTTCTGACTTGCAGAACGGTACGCAGCAGTAGACCATTCTGACTCTTCTCCTGTGAGCCCGTCTTACATTCTTCAATGACCACCGTCACGCGATTTCAACTGCCGCAAGCGTAGAAAATAACTTAGCCCAAAAGCAAGGACGAGACAAACCACGTGTAACAAATTTCGAAAGTAACTGTAAAAAGTAACGTCGTTACAGTTACTTCTCAGATTTATGTGAACACGACCACCAAATCGCCTCGCAACTCGTGAGAGAGTTCAAGGCTTCGGCGTGGGAAGGGTACAGCAATAACTGCTGCAGAAAACATCTGGAACAGGAGGGGGAAAAAATATAAAGAAACTAAATTTCGGGTGATCCCTGCATGGCCAAGCCAACTGGGAGGATGGGGACGTTTGTGTCCGTACCCACGTCCGTACCAGCCATGTGTGCCCACAGCGCACGGAGATGTAACAAAGCGCGGCATCTTTAAAGCGTTTTTCTTTTCTTCGTCCCGCGGAGGGAGCGAGTGCTTTTTGCAGAGGACAGTTTTCGGTGATTATTGCCCCAAACGCCCACAGGCTTACGGGCGTCTTCTTGCCGCCAAGCATACGTTTCCTTTTCGTCTAATTTGAATCGTCCAACTCCGAGATGCACTCTTGCGGGTCTCGACTTCGGGCCCACTTTCTCTCCCTTCCTTTTATTTATTTTTTTTTTATTATTTTTTTACAAACCAATTACCGGCCTTGCCTCCCGTCACCCCACCCACTTGTCCCTTCTCGGGTCCTTGGGTCCAGTCACTTGAGAAAGAGTATTTGCTCGAAACATCTGTGTAGTTCTGCTTGTTTGTGTTGTTTTATTATATATATATATATATATATATATATATATATATATATATATATATATATATATATATATATATATATATATATATATATATATATATATATAAAACTGAGAAGAAAAAAACCCTTAGTGAAAAACAGCAACAACGGACGATTTAATCTTCGACATTTCGGCCGGAGTCCGGCCTTCGTCACGAAGGCCGGACTCCGGCCGAAACGTCGAAGATTAAATCGTCCGTTGTTGCTGTTTTTCACTAAGGGTTTTTTTCTTCTCAGTTTTATACCCACGCCTTCGGCCTCCCGCCACCATGCCCCTTATATATATATATATATATATATATATATATATATATATATATATATATATATATATATATATATATAAACGAATATGTGCAGATGAATGAACCGTACTTAATCCAATGAATTAAAGAATCCAAGTTTTCAGGAACCCGCCGAAAGCCAAAAAATGGCGGAGCCAGGATTTGAACTCTGGGCCTCCCAATGTCCGGTCGGGTGTGCTAACCACTACACCACTCCACCTTAGCTTTCTGGCGTTTCCTACCTGTCTTATTAATGCACAAGAAACGAAATGTGTCCAATCGGAGGTGTTCTGGAAACACACGCCGCCGCGTGGAACGCGGTACGACGCTTAGTGTCACGTGGTACGTGCTCGTTTGTGCTCCAGAAATCCTCCCACTGTTTGTCTCGCCCCGTGTACATGTAGTATTCTTTGTTTATGAGCTTTTAGAGACACGGTATCATCATCATCTGCGAGAATCAAGAGCCACGTTATTGAATATACAACACGGGCACTTCACGTCATCGTACGTGGTCTCCGAGGGGGATATAAACGAATATGTGCAGATGAATGAACCGTACTTAATCCAATGAATTAAAGAATCCAAGTTTTCAGGAACCCGCCGAAAGCCAAAAAATGGCGGAGCCAGGATTTGAACTCTGGGCCTCCCAATGTCCGGTCGGGTGTGCTAACCACTACACCACTCCACCTTAGCTTTCTGGCGTTTCCTACCTGTCTTATTAATGCACAAGAAACGAAATGTGTCCAATCGGAGGTATATATATATATATATATATATATATATATATATATATATATATATATATATATATATATATATATGTTTTTTTTTTGTTTTTTTTTTTGTTTTTTAATTGGAAGATTGCTTTTAGCCGCGACCAGGGGCACTTGGCATCAGTTGACTTGTGGGCTGGCCCGTAGTTCTCAAGTTTTGAGCAGCGCCCTCGCCAGCAAAATAGAATATTTGTGGCTCGCGTTTGCGTCATCACGCTTCCCCCCACTACAGTTGTTTTATACTCCGTTCCATTCTAAGCGCTAGCGTAGCAGATGCTACAAGAGCGAGCTCCGAGCTTTCAGTGTCCCTGCCAAGGACGCGTGCTCGTGCAGTGCGAGCATCGTTCGGGGGAACGTGCTTGTGCAAGTAGCTTCGGCTTCGCTACGTGTTCACAGAGGCCATGAAAAAAAGCGATGCAAATATTACACCTGAAAGGAATGTTTAATGGGATGCTGCGGCCGCAAACTGCATTATTCTTTCTTTCTTTTTTTTCTTAGAAGTTTTTTTATCGCACAATTTTGCCTAAAAAAAATCTGAAATTAGAGTTGACCGATTGGAAACTGGCATTATGATTGGATATACACGAGATCTGGACGCGTGCCGTTGTGTTCGTGCATACCTTATGGTAGTCGCTTTTATATTAAAGTTCTTCGTGGACCAGCTATCTGCTATGCTAAATTTTTGAAAAACAAGTCGCCTGTAATTTTGCCAGGGAAGAGACTCTAAATTTTTTTATCGTATGGTGGGTTTAGTCGGATACTGCCTTAAATTATGATCTGAGCTATTCATGGTAAAAATTGAAATAGGAAGAACCAAATGTGTTAATATTGATCATTAGGAAAATCTTAGTTTCTCAAAGTAATCACATTCACTACCGTGAACAACACAATGTCTTATAAGAAATCTGTACTAATTTAAACGCATATAAAGGAACATTCCTTATGAATGTTTTCTCAATTCTTTGTAAAGTAACGACGAAGTAACGGCGTTACTTTAGTGAAGTAACTGTAATAAGTTACTCTTTCAATTTTGTAAATGTAACTGTAACAGGTTTACTTTTTTTCCTCACTAACTGTAACAGTAACACTGTTACATTTTAGCAGCAACGTGCCCGTGACTGCTTCCCGAGGCTCCGAGCAATGCCCTGAGGCGCTCCAAGGACAGCTGAGACGGATCGCCATCTCTCGGCGGGTGCGGCCGCAAACTGCATTATTTTTTCATAACGTCGCCAAGGCGCGCGCTGTGGCCTTCGCGGGTGGAGTGGTCGGAAGTAATAGAGTTGGTCGTGTTCCCACTGAGCTACTGGGGCATATCGAAAATATGGTATCTCTTTCCTTAGTAATAATTCAGCCGATAAACTGTAAGTTGGAAAGTTTTCTGCCGATTTTCCTCTAGGAAAAGCACTCCCGGGTCGAAGTCGGGATGCACCATGCATTGGCGACATTCTCACCTAGTGAAGAAATCGTACGCGTGCATATTCAACTCCAAGTACGTTGCGCTTGACGTTTGCGCGAGCGATGTCTTCAGCCACAAGAAGGGAGCGACGGCTCGGCGACATCTTCGTGCAAATCGGCTTGGTGGTCGGGCGTGTCGTACGGGATGAATACCAATTCTTTTGACCAGTCCTAAATTTCTCTTTTAAAGGCAGACAAAATTCGCCGGTACCGCGAACGACAGTTCTGAAATAGAGGTCCCACGCCCGTCGTCCGCTGCCATTGCCGTCCCTGCGAGTCCCACGATACGCGAAACGACGCACGCACAGAATGCTTCCGGTTGTCTGTGGAACTTTTTTTTCAATCAACGTATTTGCAGTTTTTTAGAAGCCACAAAAAAATGGGTTTCATATTTTTTTCTATTTTTAATATTGAGTGTGTGCCTTCAGTGATCAACGACTTTGATTAAATTTGGTGGTCGCATCGATACCTTAGAAAACGGCCCGTGACCGCGGAAAAGAGAGTGAGCGAGACTCGAACCGGCCAGTTCTGGATCGGCGGTTTTCGGGCGGAAAGAAACCGAATTTCGAGCCGCAAATTCTGTTCTGGGTAGTTGAGCTCTCATATGTCACGTACAACTAAAAACCTCGGCGAGCATAAAACCCCTGTCAGTGTCCCTTTAAGACTAAGGTAGCCGCTTGTGAAACTGTTCTTAAGGTGGAGTCAAATTACTAGAAATAAAAGCCATTGGTAGAAAAAGGAATAAAAACAAATGGGTATGCGACTTACTGAAAAGTTTTATTCATGTACACGGCAGAAAACATGACACTGGAGGTAAAGGACCGACACTTAAAACACTTTTAAATGTTTTCGTCGTTTTTTTTACCGGCTGTCTGGGGGTTCCAGTAACGTGCAATTCACACCAGCTCGTTTGCACACTTACGCTTAGTTGAAGCTTTATTCACGGAAAGCATCTAACTGCCAGGGCAGCACGCTTATAATATAACGATACTCTGCCAGGAGAGCACGAAATAAAATATAACGATACTCTGATTATCAGCTTTATGCTCAGATTGAACGTTTCTGTTTTTTTTTTTCTTTTTTTTTTTTAGTTTTCAAGTTCTACAGAGACAAAAGCTGCACAAAGTGTCAGCCAACTTTGTTTCGGGCTACACCTGGACTGGAACCACCTCCCCTTCACTGTCAACTTTATCACCGAGCCTTTTGCATATGAATGATCTTCAGGACGCTTTCTTAGGAAGGCCAACCCGCACCAGACAATAGTAAAGCCCCATGGTGTACGTACTCTGTCACCCAAGAACACAGAACCCTTTCGGATCCTCACATAACCCCAGGTAACACGAAAACATTAGAATAATGTTATTTTTATGTTCGTCCCAAACGTTAGAGGAATGTTCTTAATGTCCGCCTGTATAAAGCTATTTGAACGTTTGGCAGAACATTCTTATAACGTTTTGATAAACGTTATTTGAACACTTGGAAAACAATTTTGCAACGTAAATACAATGTCCGGAAAACATTAGCATAACATTACTGTAAACATTGTAGTAACATTTGTACAACATAATTTTTTTACGCAGCGTTATTACAACAGAAATATAATGTTTACAAAACATTAAAATAATGTTCTGGTAAACGTTATAGTAACATTCGTAAAACATGTTATTACCACATTATAGTCGGTGACAGGTCAAGAACTAAGTAGAAGCTCCTCCCACCTCTTTCCACTTGAGCAGAGCAAACGCTGGAGAGGAGGTCGCCTCCTCTCCAGCGTTCGCTCTGCTAAAGAGGAAAGAGGTGGGAGGAGCTTTTATTTGGTTCTTGACCTGTCACCGACTACGGCAAAATGTGTGCAAAATGTTTGGAGGAGTGTTCTGAACTATGAAGACAAATATATACTGTAAAAGTCTGGTTCAGTCAGTTGTGTTTGACTGCATTGCCAGGGCTGTTGCCGAGAGACGGTGAATTGCCATGGCAACACCTGTCACGTACGGTAACTCAGTCGTCTTACCAACGTGCAAGCCCTGCAACACGGTCAAATTAGTGTTTGAAGTAGCCTTAGTTCAGATGTGCCCTACACACAGTATATATATGCCTTTATGGTTCAGAAGTGTTCCTCCAAACTTTGCAGACATTTTACCAGTGCAGTAACATTCTCTTCCGTTTCACAA